AAGAACAGGAGCTGACTGGTTAACTGTTAGCATATCCAGACCACGGCGAGAACTTCCTCCCCTGCGGCCCCCTCCCATGTAACCCTGGGCTGGAGAAGAGCTCTCTGGCTGCTTCTAAGAGCTTAAAGGGCTGCATATCCCTTGGTTCTCAATTCTGGGCTTCTGAACAACAGCCGAGGTGAGTGGGTGTATCCAATTCTCTTCCGAGCCCCGGCAGGACAGAAGGCAGCCCTAACAACTGAGAAAACCCAATGGTTCTACAATCTCCCCATTCGCTAACCCTGACAGGATGGGGTCACAGCAGGTTATCAGAGGAGAAGGATCCATCAACTTTCAGGTAACACTTCTAAAAGCTCTACGGAAGGTAACAGCTAGACTACAACTGACTGACAGTTCTGTGGCCAAATAAGTTGGGTGGTTGCTGGTTAAAGCTGAAGGGATTTCTTTACTGCAGGATTTTTTTTTGGTATCATTAAAAGGTTGCTGCACAATATGAAGCTAAAGATATCATTTGACCACAAGAGCAGCATTCCATATAACATGCTTTTAGAAAACGCCATCGTTGGGTCACCTGGACCAGTCTCCTGCATCCCAGTGATGCTTATCTTCTCCTGAAAACCCATCTAGACTCACCAGTGGGAGAGACCTTAGGCCTTCCGCTAAGGAACTGCCCCCATTTCCCTCCGAGGTCTTCCCTCGACTCCTTCCCGCTCTGAGTCTCTCCAACTACTGATTTGTCTCTTTTCCCAAAGGTCCCAGTTCTGCCCTTTCAGCATCCTCCACCCCTACTCTCTGGACTTCAGGCACGTTACGGACAGATTCTTGGGGCCGGGTAGGGTGGACCCCCCCTGGGTCCACCCTGGTATTCCTCACCAGGTGTACATAGGGAACGAAGTAGCCAAGGGCAGCAGCAGCAATGCCAAAGGCCCAGATGCGGTAGGTACGTTGGCGGAACACTCGCATGTTGAAGTATTTCCTGAGTTGAGCCAGAAAGCGCTGGCACAGGCTGTGGACACCTCTCTTGCTTGGGGTGTCCTGGGAGCTGGGCAGGAGGGGCCGGTAGGTGAGTGAAAGCAGCGTAAGAATAAACATGAAGGTACTCAGCACCTGGAAGGTTTGGGCGAGCTTTATCTTAGCCCCCAGTGTTTTCATGAGAAGGGGGAAGGATATGGAGAAGATGCTACTCCCAGCAGATACTACACCATTGGCCAGACCCAGGCGGCGTTGGAAGTAGTGGCCCAGGATGACGAGAGATGGCTGAAAGGCGAAGGAACAGCCACAACCAAAGAGAATCCCATAGGTGAAGTAACGCAGGCTTAGTGAGCTGTGGGAGAGACACCAAGAGCTATCCTCAGCAGCCTGACCGGCAATCCACCTGTCTTTCTCCCTTCACCCTCCCGAGACCTGAATCCCCCCATCATTAACCCACAGACCCACTTACCACTGACCCTCAGAACACACAAGAAACAGCACCTTCTGATCCCCACCTTGCAGATGGAGTGACAGGCTCAGAGAAGTAAAGTAATTTACCCAAGGGGATCAGCAAAGCTTGGACTTGACTCCGGGTCTGTGTGACTGTAGTTTGAATCACAGCAAACCATCAGACAGGAGTGTTCAAAACAAAGCCATAACCACTTACGCAAAGGCTGGATGATGGGCTACAAGGAGCAAGGCGATGACTTAGAGAGAACAGTGTCACCTACTGCTTACATAAACGGCACGGGTAGGTGCGTAGCCAAAGCTTTACCCCAAATTACAAAAGTCTACGAGGCTGGATGGTTGAGATCCTCTTTAGGACCCCTCAATACCTTTCTCCATGGTCAAGACCCTGGAGTTCAGAGAATGGCTGGTAGCCTCCTGCCCCTCCCTGCCCCGCAACCCTGCCCAAGTTCCGAATATCCCAAGACCCTTTACGTCAAGCCCCATGTGATCTCCTTGGGGATCATAAAATATAAAATCCCTTTCAGCTCCAGGGCCTGTCTCCTGTTACTAGACGTGGTATGGATTAGGTTGTCAGCATAGCCTGACTGCTTGACAGGAAGTGGAGCCTCAGAGAAGTTATGTGTCTGGCTGAGTAAGACAGGTTCTGGCTTAAAACTGTTGGGTACCGCTGTGGTCGCAAGCCTCTGTAATGGAAGGCAAACGTCAGCAGGGAAAAGGCCATGGCAAGGTTAGCGTGGCCGGTCATGTGCCACCACACAATATTGGCACAACCTAGTAAAGAATTTTGTTTTCTTTTTGAAGCCTCTACATATTTCGCAATAGTTTTTATCTGACCAGTTAATTACCTAATACTCTCCATGTTCGGGCAGTTACTCCCCGTAGAGAGACCCAGCCCTCATGCTAAAGGATCGGACCCGTGCTACGGAGAGGTGGCGCTAGTGTGCACGATTCCAAGACAGTTATCATAACCGTGGCTTTCTATCTGCGGGCACTCACTGGATGTGCGCATTGTCTAACGGACAGGAGTTAGACCTCCAGCGAGGGGTCCGGTAGAGGCAAAGCCTGGGGTTCAGTTCAGGGTGCCGTGTGGTGGATATATTTCTAGCCAGACCCCAAGGCCAGAAGACCCTAAGCCAGACTGCCATCCAAAGAAATTCAGACAATAGGAAGGATGACTTGGGGCTCCAGCCGCAAGCAGAACCATGTTTTTCCACTGGATGTGAAGCCATCCGGAAAATTTCTTGGCTCCGAAAATGTTCTTACACAAAAGGCAAAGGAGTAGGGGAGGGGCTTGGTGCCTGGAGAACAGAACGCCTACTCCAATGTACCTAAAGAAGAAAACACATCCGAGCTCCTTCCCGTCCTATAACTGAGCTCATGCAGATCGGAAGGGAAATGGGATCCGTATGTTGCTAATTTGTTTATACTTTGCTCTGCTCGGCCTTCAAAAACAGACCTCTGTTGTGCAGTGTGGAGACTGGATCCGCTTCTGTGGCCCAGCACCTTCCCACAGGGGCAAATGAGGCCACAACAATTAGAGGGGTCCTGAAAGGGTTCGCAGCGGCTGAGAGGGCCGAGCAGGGTCTACGCAGGACATGGTTTCTCCCTCCTCTGTCCCAATTGGATGGGACCAAGCCAAGAAACCATTGCAGGGTAGATGCAACCTCCGCTGGAGGGTAGGCCAGACAGCCAGGAATGCTCAAGTCGTAAAGGAAGCTGATTCATCTTCACAGGGCCCACTTGTGGCCGGACACAATTATCATTCTCTAATGGGAGTGGAAACTTCGGCCTACAGAATATAACCATTGTCCTACAGCAGCCCAGGCAGATTGGAAGAAGGAGGGACTATAACTTTCAAAGTATCTTTGGCGGAAAGTCTGTCATGGATACTTCTGAGTTCTGCCAGTGGGACCAGTGGACACAGTTTGACTTTAGCTTAGGCCTAGCTGAGCGGTTGGGTGTTGAGTCTGTACCCAAGTGGGTGAGGCTGCTGCACATCCTTTCTCCTGCCCAAGATATGCATCTTTATCTGTGCCAGTCCATATATTGGCAGCCAGAAATATCTGGAAAGGATCCAGAAATGCTAAACAGCCTTGGCCTCAGCTGACCTCTTTTTCACCAGAAGATTCCCCCAGGAATCCCATAATGGTCAGGATCCACATGCCCTTGCTCTAAAAGCTTCTTCCTGGGAAGGCAGGTAATGTCATGAGATGTATGGCCTATCTCGAAGGAGACTGAAATGGTAGAGTCGAAAGAGAACTGAGGAGACCATCTGGTCTAATCCCCTCATGTTCTAGATACAGAAATTGAGGCCAAAACTGGACATGGGCCCAGCTATACAAACTCTCAAGCTTAGGCTCTTCCCACCACTTTGGAACTTCGCAGTCCTCTTTGGGGATATTACCTACTGATGTGCCCTGGGGACCCCGTGTCGAGGTATCCCGCTGAGCAATGATTCCTGGGAGCGGGGTCTTTGAACCCTACA